TCAAATTAAGTAATAATAATAATAATAATATCAGGTGGAGTTCAATAAATAATTCTTTAAAAAAAAAAAAAAAGATCAAATGCTAAGAATGAATGGATGAAGCAAGTCAGGTTCACACTAGAGAGTGGCCGGGACTGTGGCAAACTGGAGTGGGCAGGTCATGTCCAAAGAGCAACAGCTGCTCAGTGAAGCTGGGAGAGATGGCACCTGGTGTGGCCACATGTCCTAGTTTTCAAAAGTCAAGAGTCCAGATATTCTATTGTTTCTTGATTTCTAAACATTGGCAACTAACCTTTAAAAATAAAATGGCATGGGCCAGCAATGGCACAGCAGTAACAGAACTAGACCCATGTGGGAAAGTCTTGGGTTTGCGTCCCAGGGCCACCCTCTACATGCCAGAATGCACTTGCTGGTGATCCTAGGCGGTTGAGGGCTGAGGCTAGGGGTAGGTTGTGGTGTGAAGACCATGTTGGGGAGCTCACTCATTCGCTCGCTTTCTCTCTCAGTGTACATAAACTTAAAAAAAATGTAAATATTGTGATTCAAACTAAACCTCTGGGCTAAATGTTATCCAGGCCAATTGGAAAATAGTACCCTCAAAGAGCTCTGCTCATCTCTACGCCCCCAGCCTCTGGAAAGGGCACCTTTTCTGTTCAATTTAGGAATTAAACACCTTTTCTGTTTAATTTAGCAGATCCTTGCACACAGGCCTATCTTGGACCTAATTTACTAACCCTCATCTCTCCTTCACATAAAGGTGGATAAGGAAGGCCAGAAGTTGGAAAATCCTACAAAAAATATGCTTGATACAATTTTAATTTGTCTTGAAAACACATGGTGATGGTGTTCATCTCATGACTGTTGCCCAAGATGTGGGGGTAGTCAAAGCTGCAGATGGGAGTTTGGGAGCAAATGTTGAAAGGGGATGAGTTCACTGCCCTCACCACCACCCCCTTCTGCAGCCCTTACCTCCTTTCCTCTTCCCTCCAAAACACGTACACACCTCCACATGCTTTTTCAAACATACCATTGAAACTGAGTTGGGCAGAAGATGCAAAGACAAGGAAACTCCAGAAGCAGACGTCCCTATCTATGCCATTATCTGTGTCAGGGTTATATGAAAAAACCCCAAGCCCCAGACCGTATTGTCAGGATCCCCCCCCCAACCCTCAATTCAGTGCTAGTCCATGCTCCCCTCCCCAATTTAAAGCCATCTCTCTCTCTCACTCTCTCTCTCTCTCATTGGCTCACCTAAATATTTCTTAATTGAACAGTTTGTGGTGGAGCTTCCTTATAGCACTCCCTCTCTCTCTCTCTCTCCCTCCCTTCTTCCCTCCCCCTCTCCCTCCCAGTCTCCCTCTCTATTCAAATTAAAATAAGTAAATACATAGTTAAATAATTATTTAAAAAGAGAGAGAGAGATCGAGAGAGAGAGAGATCAAGGGGCCGGCAGGTGGTGTGGTGGTTAAAGGCGCTGGACTCCGACATGGCCAACCATGGTTTGAGTCCCAGACCTGGCAGCTTACTTTCTTGCTTTCCCTTTTTTTCTTCTCTGTCTCTCTCTGGTCAAATTAAGTAATAATAATAATAATAATAGCAAGTGGAGTTCAATAAATAATTCTTTAAAAAAAAAAAAAAAGATCAAATGCTAAGAGTGAATGGATGCAGCAAGTCAGGTTCACACTAGAGAGTGGCCGGGACTGTGGCAAACTGGAGTGGGCAGGTCATGTCCAAAGAGCAACAGCTGCTCAGTGAAGCTGGGAGAGATGGCACCTGGTGTGGCCACATGTCCTAGTTTTCAAAAGTCAAGAGTCCAGATATTCTATTGTTTCTTGATTTCTAAACATTGGCAACTAACCTTTAAAAATAAAATGGCATGGGCCAGCAATGGCACAGCAGTAACAGAACTAGACCCATGTGGGAAAGTCTTGGGTTTGCGTCCCAGGGCCACCCTCTACATGCCAGAATGCACTTGCTGGTGATCCTAGGCGGTTGAGGGCTGAGGCTAGGGGTAGGTTGTGGTGTGAAGACCATGTTGGGGAGCTCACTCATTCGCTCGCTTTCTCTCTCAGTGTACATAAACTTAAAAAAAATGTAAATATTGTGATTCAAACTAAACCTCTGGGCTAAATGTTATCCAGGCCAATTGGAAAATAGTACCCTCAAAGAGCTCTGCT